ATGGGAGCTTATGGTTGTGGTGTATCTTTTAGCCAAGTTAGTAGATCCTACGCCTGAAAGATCGGGGGGTGGCTTGCTGGATCAGGCCAACCAGCAACTGAGGTCTTCCGTATGTCCATCTCGACTACATGCTTTATGAACACCCTGCCTGCTGGTCAATAGGTCAACAACCCCCTTCTCTTCCAACGTATTTCCCATCCATATCAAAACCAGACTATCGCCCCCGAAGGGCACATTCGAGTATCAGGTCTTCATCTCGAATTCATGTACGGAGACATACACCATGTAACCATCAACGCCCAAATCCCCGATAACCACCACTAAAGGGTATATGGTACCTTACATTCCCAGAAACCCCATTTTCCATAAACCACCTCACATCATCTGCAACAGATCCATTCTACTATTGTAACACTTTCGCTACTATCAAAACTCAGACCCAAAATCCCACCCATTCGCAACGGATATCAATTCCCACTGCACCCACCTCCAGGCTATACCCAAATGCCAAACTCCCGCTACAACCGATCTACCCAATATCCCCGTATACATACGTACCCTTTCCCAAACTCGCCCACGCAGCGCTATTCAGAATTTCTAACTGAACGACAAGAAATTGCGACTATCACTTTGTACCGGTTACATCTGCCATGCTTCGCAACACACATATGCAGACAGCCACAAATATCTACATCAACAACCGCGCGCGAAAGAGGGAGTGGGGGAGGGGGAAGGTGAATTCCGGCCTGGAATGAGGGGCAGGGCTTCGGTTTGTTCAACCTCTTTGCCTTGATGTACTGTTGCCTTGAAGGCGGGGAGGGTGGAAGAAGTCTTATCTTTGCGAACCCCCCCCCTCTTCGTTCTTCCTTCTATGTCGGTCGTGGTCTCGGGCTGCGGATACGGGAAAATCGAGGGGCTGCTTTGGAATTGGACTACGGGATAATGGACAATGGGATTGTTGTTTTGAGGGGCTGTGTGCGGAGGGGAGAAAGTTGGGCAGTGGATGCCGAATTGTAAGTGGAGGTGCAGGATGGCTACAGTATAGGTTTGGATTTGGGCTTTGCTGGGGGTTGGTGGGTGGTTGTGCTGTTTGTAGTGCTCTGGGTCTGTGGGTGTTTTGCTTTCACTCTTTGGGGCTGGTTTGGATGAGATGGAAGAAGGGCTGGGTAAACTCGGTGGACTCTGGGGACTCGAGAGAGGGTTGGTGTGTTTTGTACTGTTGTAGGTTGGATGATGGGACAGAGGTTTTCCAATGGAATCAAGCGAGGATGATGAAGTTGGTTTGATCTGAGGTTTGATTTGTGGGTTGTAAGACTAAATAGTAGCATAGCACGCAAGACTGTGGAAGACCCCTCTAAGTAGTTACCACTATTACTATGCGTAGAGGACTATCCGTGCTATTATAGTGAACAAGACGAGATTCAGATACAAGTGCCTTAGTACGTATGGTATGCTAATTGGGGATGATAGTTCTGATTGGGATGTAGCAGTATCCACAGTGGATTTCTTTGCTCTTTGTCCTTAGCATCGAGCCGAGTGCTCGTCATATTGTTGTCTTGCAAGCTCGTGGGGTGTCATTGCTCGAACAAGACCATCAACTCAGTCTAAAAGTCACCATGGGATGAGGGGTGGTATGATGGCAGCTTCTGATACCAGGCGAGCGGCTGACTGGGTGATAAGACCTTCGCACGTCCAGATCACGTTACAGAAGAAAGACAAGGCAATACAACGTAGTCACAAATCTATTGTACTTTTTGTCTGATTAGAAACAACGAGACACACCATCTTTCCAAGCCGACAAACGCCTTGAGCGTTGGGATATATCATGACCTTAAGAACGCCAAAATCCGCTTCATTCAACTGATACCACAAGCCGCAACTCTCTTGATCGGGCACGGGAAGCATAAACTAGAACCAGATCTTAATCAACTCCTCACTCACCGCACTTGGCGTCAAGACGCCGCTGTCTGTGATCAATGCGGATATCAGATGGGGAGGCGTGTAATCAACCACGTCCGAGCTGTCCGGCGACTTGACGTTGGGTGTGGGCTGTGCTTGTTGCTGCTGCTGCGTGGCTTCGTCGGCGACATCTTCTTCGGTCTTGAAGTCGATCACGCGCTGCTCAATTGGCAGGTCGTACTGTCCAAGCGGGTAGAGACGGACGAACTTGTGGCTCTCCGCCACGACGTAGAAAGGCTTGCCCATGGCCTTGGCCAGCAGACCTATCTGGTAGGTGCCCATTCTCGACACGATTCCGCCGTTCTCCACGACACCCTCCGCACCGACAATGACCACGTCGGCCTTGCCAAGCGAGTACGCGACGGCGGACTCCGGGATCGTGGCCACGGGGACACCCTTCTCACGCAGCGCGCGGACTGTCTCCATACCCTCGGGCTCCGCCGACGAGCCCTCGACATCGCCCTTGGCCGGGGACAGCACGTAGATCACCCGGAATCGAACGGCGGACGGGCCGCCCTTCTCACCGGCAGCCTGCTGTAGCAGCGAGGCCACGACTCTGGAGCCACCGTTCGTCAGGACCGTGCTTCCGTCCCGCACGAAGCCTCTTCCGAACGCCGCAATCTTGTCTCGGCTTTCCTTCGCACGTCTGATGAACAGCCGGCCGTTGGACAGCAGGTGCGCCCTGATGGCATTGAAGTCTCCGGCGGGTCCGAGCTGGCCCGGTCTCTGTAGCGTAGTGATCAGGTATCGCTGGAAAAGATCGGTTCCAGCGGAGAGGCCGATGGGGTTCGGGATCGACTGTTTTAAGTGTGCGGTGGATTTCTCCAGAAGATCGAGCGTCTCTGATATCGTCGAGGAGGGGGAGTGTGTGAGGAGTAGCACCAAGGCCTCGATAGCGGCGATTGGCATGGTCAGATCTGGGTCGGAGCGGAGCAGCTCATTGTACGTCGCGACGATGCTGGCGACTGTTAGCAGCTTCCAAGGCCGCATGGGCTTTCCATGGCGTCGTCAGGTTTGACTACTTACTCGAACGGCTTCGCCGAGGTGGAAGTGGCAGCTGCCATGATGACTGATGATGCGCTGAACAGCTCTGGAGGAATGATGGATCGAAAAGTCCGTAGGAAGCTGTCGTGCAGCAATTATCCGTAACAATTATTGTCCCATGGTCGCTTCGCCGCAGAGTCATCGAAAAAGGGAAGCGTGGAGTAAGTTTGCATCGTTTGTATATACTGCCCCTCTTCTGGTGCGCTAGTCCGCTTCCGGTTGCCATGCGAGGCCCTTCACTGTAAACAATCAATCATAACATCCAGCCGAAACACGATAACCACTTTTGCATCACATCTTCTCCGACGGATAACTTAGGCGTCGCCTCGTGGAGAGGGCTCTTCTGCATCATGTCGTACGGTCATCGAATGAGTCAACAGTTCCACGGCTCCCAGCAGCACCACAACAGAGGCGGCCGCAAGAAAGAAGATGAAAACGATGCTCTGATGCGACTGGTGAGTGCATATCACAAATCCGCGCACCCCGTCTGTGACTTCGTGCCCTGACACTTCCAGTAGCCAGATAAAGAGATTGCAGGATGTATCAACGACATCGGCATACCCTTTACCGCCGCCGACCTGATCAAACCGAACCCGCAGCAGATTCAGATGGTCTTCGAGTGGTTTGCGGAACTCCTGATGAACAACACCCGCGAAACGGTGGAACCAGCAATGCGCGCCGCGGCAGATGATGTTTGTGGCGACTATCCGGATATCGTGCCCACGGATACACGCAATTTGATGGGATTTTTCACCGGACTGCGGCGGTTGATGATGGAGGTACCGATCTTGCCCCCTCCCCCTCCCGGTTGTGACTTCTGACTGACTGTTGTGACTGCCAACCAGTGCGGTGTCAACGATTTTACTTTTACCGACCTGACCAAGCCGACCCACGACCGTCTCGTCAAGATCTTTTCCTATCTCATCAATTTCGTGCGCTTCCGCGAGTCGCAAACCCCCGTGATCGATGAGCATTTCAACAAGGCGGAGAAGACGAAAGCACGCATCGATACCCTCTACGGCGAGAATCAGGAGATGGAACAGCGTCTTGAGGATATGCGCCGGACTCTGAAAGCCAACGAGGCGCAGGTCAAGGAGAAAGTCCGGAGGAACGATGAATTGAAAGCACGGCTCCTCGAATTGAGACGGAACCAGGAGCGAGTTGCGGAGACACTGGAGCGTGTCAAGGCGGACAAGGCCAGACGACAGGCACAGCTCGAAGAGAAGACAGAAAGGGTGGTGCGCACCCGGCAGGAGGTCGAGAAACTACGACCTTACGTGATGGACAGTCCCGCCTCGCTTCAGTCGTCCCTAGCTGAACTGTCTGAGAGTTTGTATCGTGAGAAAGCGCAGATTGACGCCATGGAGAAGCGGGCAAGAGCTCTACAAACCTCGTCGGATACGTTCACTGTTGTCAGCAATGATGTACAGGCATGTGTGAAGCTCCTGGAGGATATATCCGTTGAGCTTCAGAAAGAGGAGGAGGAAGAGTCCAGAGCTTCTAGAAACAAAGAAGCTATTTCTGAAAGAGGTAACAATGTAAGGGAAGTGGAGCAGACAGAGAAACTACTGCAGCGACAGTTGACGCGGTGGAACGAGAGAATCGAGGCTCTGCGGAAGAACGCGCAAGAAAAGGCCGAGGCAGCCCAGGCCCGCATGGAGGAGTTGCGGGAAATCCAGAAACAACTTCGCGAGGAGCGAGCAGACAAACAACGCGACATGGAGCGTCGGAGAATCCGCATTGAACAGACCGAAAAGAAGGTCAGTCATCACCTCTAACTGTCACCGTGCTTAACTGACCGTTATCTAGATGGCCGATCTCAAAGAGAACATTGAAAGCGAGATCCAAGGCGCTCATGACGAATACCTGAAGCTGGAGTCGCATATCAAACTTTACATCACTGATATGGAAAAATGTTTATGATCTGAGGCAATTCTGTCAGGGGCGCGATTTCGGGAGTTTATGGATTGGTTCTAGGATACCCGTATGATTCAAATATTGCATTGTGGGAGTCTTTCATTACTGGGTATTATTGAAAATCTCTGTCCTCTTCTATCTCAGTGTGTGTTTGAGCATTACCCCGTGCATCATCCACGGTGCCTGCAGTGGCATAGTCTTTCTCAATGAACTCAAACCAACGTTCTGCGACTCGTTTCACAGGTACAGTTCGTCGAAAGAGGGCGGTTTCTTCTGAGACACGCACAGTACTATTCAGCATGGGCACCTGTGCATTCCACGGTAAGTCTTCATGGTTCGTTGAGTCTTGGCATTCGCAGAGCACAAGGTCCATATCTGCTCTGAAGGAGGTTTCTGCCAGTGCTGCGAAGGTTCTGGACAGGCCTTGCGCGGAGAATTCCGTGGTTGGGGCATGGAGAGATAGGGAATCAAGGACCGCCAATAGAGGCCGTGCTTCGGTCTGCTCATGTGATTCCTTTTCATTCTGAGGGATACGTTGGGACCCTACTACCGACAAGCAGGCGCGTAGATTCTCCAGAGTTGGGCAGAATAATACTCTAACCCGGCTGGATCTAGACAATAGTCCGATGGTTTTGCCGTAGATGTGATGGCGCCCAGCGACTTCTCCCCTGGTTGGATGAGTAGCAGCGAGCAATCGGGTCAAAAATTGATCCCTGGTTGAGCATACAATCAGGGTTGTTGAGATAGAGTCATGTTGTAAAACTGATTGCAGGAAGTCGGGAGTAGAGCCGGTAGAATATACTTGTCTGGTTGAGCCCATGGCTGGGCCGACTGCTCTGTAAGTGCAGCCACTTAGACGAGGGCTTTGTTCCGCTTTGCTAGCACATAAGAGCTGAAGAGGCTGTTTTGACTGCCATATCACTCTGGCAATTGGTGAGTCAGACACCGATAGACGTCGAGCTGGGACGTTAGTGTATGGAGTAGAGAGAGGGGATAAAGACCGGAATGAGGTACGGAGTAGGTACTAAGTATTTACTGACTTACTGTACGTGCGCGGGAAAGCTTGAAGGGTGGATCCACCCAATCGATAACTAACTGAAGTTACTTAACCCAAGCACGTTACCTCAAATCGTCATTTCGGCTTGCCCGCCAGAGAATCACCGAGCACCCAACTTCTCCCTAGCTCTGCGTCACGGAGCGTGTCCCCTTCCAAAAAAGCTTCGTCTATTATCGCCTTCCCGTGACGGGCTTCGGAGGCAAAAATGGAGACCATTTCACGGATCTCGTCCATGCTGGAAACAGGTACTGTCCGCCCGAGTGTCATTCCGCCAATTGTCCTCGCTGCCTAAGTAGACTGACTGACTGACCGGAATGTTGTGTCAACAGCCCGCGAGCTCACCCTCGAAGCAGCGCAGTCCGCAGCTTTGAATAGAGGCTCCGGCACGGGGGTAACTCCCCGCAACCTGACGGCCTCGCATATCAAGAAACTATTGGATAGTCGGAGTGACCGCGAAGTCCTCGATGGCATGCGACGGGTGATCACAGTACGGACCAGACCCTCCCCACCAGCCGCAATCACCGAAATAAATGACTAACCCTGTCCTTTGTGAGCACTCAAGTTGATGTACCGAGCCGAGCCATCACTGCCTTTCTTCTCCGCGGTTGTCAAAAATGTAGCAAGCGCCAACTTCGAGGTTAAGAAGCTGGTCTACATCTACCTGGTCCACCATGCGGAGACGGAACCGGACCTTGCGCTGCTGTCCATCAACGCCATTCAGAAGTCGCTTACAGACCAGAATCCGCATGCGCGCGCCATGGCGCTTCGTACAATGGCTGGGATCAGAGTTCCGGTCATCAGTCAGATTGTATCCCTTGCTATCAAGAGGGGATGCGGGGATATGAGCCCGCATGTGCGCAAGGCCGCGGCATTGGCCATTCCGAAGTGTTATCGCCTGGATCCAAACTCCCTGCCGCAGTTGGTTGGTTATGTCACGACGTTGCTTGGGGACTCCCAGTACTTTGTCCTGGGGCCCGCTGTGGCCGCATTCCTGGAGGTTTGCCCCGACCGGATTGACCTGATTCACAAGCACTACCGGACCCTTGTTAAGAAGCTGGTTGATATGGATGAGTGGAGCCAGCTTGCAACGCTGCGCCTTCTAACTTTCTACGCCCGGCAGTGCTTTCCTCGCAAAACCAAGAAAGTCAAGCGCGCGACAGAAACCAAAGGATTCTACGAAGATGACGACAATGGCAACGAGGGAACGGACGAGAATGAGGCTGATTTGGATGAGGTACCCGTCTTAGATCCGGACTTGGAACTTTTCCTGCGCGCTTGTCTGTTGCTGTTGCAGAATCGTAACTCAGCGGTGATCGTTAGTGTTGTCCGCTGTTTCCTTCATCTCGGCACGCCCGAGTACCTTCAAGCTGCTGTTGGTCCGCTCATCGCTCTGCTCAGAAGCCCCCAAGATGTGCAGCATGTTGCGCTCTACAATATTGTGGTCGTGGCTTTGAGACATCCCAAGCCATTCACGAAGTATGCCACGCATTTCTTGGTTCATGCCATCGATCCGCCTCATATATGGCGTCTGAAGCTCGAAGTGCTCACGATAATATTCCCCCACTGTGGACAACATCTAAAGAATGTGATCCTGAGCGAGCTCCAGCATTTCTCGCAAAGCACGAATCCGGAGATGGTCCGAGAAAGTGTACGCGCGATAGGACGTTGTGCGCAAGCTGATACCAGCGCTGCAAATCACTGCCTGCGAGTCTTGCTCAGCCAGATCACGAGCCAGGACGATAATCTGGTAGCGGAGTCATTGACCGTCATTCGTCATCTCATCCAGCAAGACCCTCCTTCGCACGAAAAGACGGTCATTCAGCTAGTAAAGCATCTGGGACTGACAAGCAATCCCGATGCAAGAGCTACGATTGTGTGGCTTGTCGGGGAATTTGCCGGTGCCGAACCCGAAAGAAACATTGCTCCCGATGTCCTGCGAATCCTGGTTCAGGACTTCGCTAACGAGGCCGAGGCCGTGAAGCAGCAGATTGTCCTTCTCGGCGCAAAGGTCTATCTCCATCATTTGCTACGGAATCCACCTAAGGAAGAGCCAGAGCCACAAACGCAACCACCAGCTAAAACGGAGGAGGCAATCATCAATGAATGGGCCGACACTCCGAATGAGCAAGAGCCTGAAACCAATGGCCAGGAAGAGCACAAGAGTGAGCCCGAGGAGGACCAGATAGCCTTGCTTTGGCGGTATATCCTTCTTCTGGCCCGATACGACTCCTCCTACGATCTTCGCGACCGAGCACGACTTTACAAGGCTCTCCTTGCTTCTCCTTCGATGACGCAGTTGGCCAACCTACTTCTCCTCGCACCCAAACCTGTTCCCCATGCCCCCAGCCCGTCCGAGACGCGCAAGGATCTCTTGATAGGCTCCTCGACCCTTGTGATCGGGCCAGACGCGGGCATGCTCGGACTCAAGGGTTATGAGAACCTTCCTGACTGGGTCGGAGCCGGGCAAGAGCCCGACCCGCGCCTTCGCGAATCAGAGGTCAAGCCAGACCCCACCGGACGGGCATCGATGACGGCAGGCGAGCGGCTTGATCAGGCTCTCAAGGAGCATGAGCAGAGTGCCTCGTCTTCCAAGAAGGCACAGCTCGGTCGTCCAGGAGGGGCATCTTCGAAGGGCAAGACGTTGGACGAGTGGCTAGAGGAGCCGGAGTCTGAGAGTGAGGAAGAAACGGAGTCAGAGGAGGAGGTAACTGACTCTGAGTATGAGACCGATGAGGAGGAGACGGAAGAAGAAGAGACTGAAGAGGACGAATCGGAAGAGGAAGAGGATGAGACCGATTCTGAAGACCGGGCGCAGACGACAGGACTCTTGAAACGGTGATGGCCGGTTCACTTTCTCGTGTAGTGATAGAGCTTACTTTTGTGAACTTGTAGATACCATTCAAACCTTGCTTTCCATTCTGACATTCGTTTTCCCTCTTGTCCCACGAAGCACAACACAATTGCGATAGCCAAACAAACCACGCTGATTTTAGCCAACTGGCGGGAAATACAATGACAACAAATCAGGCGGTGTTCTGCGGCAGAATGGCGGAAGGTGTGAATCCTCTCCCTCACAGCGAGGCTGAGACGGTTCTCAAGATATCACGCCTCAAACATCGGACCATTCACTTTCAACTTCCTGGGATCCGTCTGGCTGGCTATGGCTGAAGCCAGCTGCGAGTGAGCTGATCGCACATCCCTGCCAATTTTTCCGCCTACCCGCGTCCAAGACTTCGAGTCGCTCGCCAGGTTGTGACCCGCGCGCGCTCCGTCCCCCTGCTGCTCTTTCAGTGGACTCAGCTGTCGGCCACGATGCGAGCTACTGCAGGAACCTCCCTCCAAAATCAACACATCCCATCTTCTATCGACCTACCTATATCACAGTCTATGCGTCTTTCCTTCTGTGACTGTTACTGAGAACCGATCGTCCGAACCGACCATCCATTTACACCTAATCTTCGAGAGACGGACGCGAAACGACCACATCCGCCTCAGACCTCCCTCCCTAACCACTTTACTTTCTCAAAACAAAAGACCCCGGCCTCGCCTCACCTTGGCTGTATAATCAGATAGACAAAAGAGAAAAGCTCCCACCATCAGAAACGGGAACCCGACCTCCACGGGTCACCTCCTGCTCCCAAAAATGCCTGGTTTACCGGGTAAGTCTTCCCCGCTGCTGCGCTTCTTGCGCTACGCCGCCACACCCAAAACCCTCCCGTGCCGAGGCAATTTCGCCTTTGTCCCCTCTAAACTGAATATCATACTCATCTTTTTTTTTATCTATGTGTTGTAGCGAGTATCGATCTGGATGAGTGCATCGAGAGACTCTATCGCAAAGAGTTACTGGCAGACTCCGTTATCGAGGCAATATGCGCCAAAGCGAAGGAGTTGTTGATGAAGGAGAGCAATGTTGTGCACATCGCGGCTCCGGTGACGGTCGTCGGAGACATCCACGGACAGTTTTTTGATATGATTGAGATCTTCAAGATCGGCGGGTTCTGTCCGAATACGAATTATCTGTTTTTAGGTGGGTTTTCCTTTTTTTCCCTTTTCCCCGTGGGGGAGTTCGTGGGAGAAGAGAAGACAAAGGGGTTAGGGGATGATGAAGGCCTGGTGCAAAGAGAGGTATTCGCTGCAGTGCGGCGGAGAACGTTTGAAATGACTCGAATGGCAAGCTGACTTCGCCCCCCTTTCACTCTAGGCGACTACGTCGACCGGGGCCTCTTCAGCGTGGAAACGATCTCGCTGCTGGTGTGCCTGAAGCTGCGGTACCCGCAGCGCGTGCATCTGATCCGGGGCAACCACGAGTCGCGCGGGGTGACGCAGTCGTACGGGTTCTACACGGAGTGCGCGCGCAAGTACGGCAACGCGAACGTGTGGCACTACTTCACGGACATGTTCGACTTCCTGACGCTGAGCGTGGTGATCAACGATCAGATCTTCTGCGTGCACGGCGGGCTGTCGCCCTCGATCCACTCGATCGACCAGATCAAGATCATCGACCGCTTCCGCGAGATCCCCCACGAGGGGCCCATGGCCGACCTCGTCTGGTCCGACCCGGACACCGAGCGCGACGAGTTCTCCCTCTCCCCGCGCGGCGCCGGCTACACCTTCGGCGCCCAGGTCGTGCGCAAGTTCCTCGAGGTCAACAGCATGTCCCACATCCTGCGCGCCCACCAGCTCTGCCAGGAGGGGTACCAGGTGCTCTACGACGACCGCCTCAGCACCGTCTGGAGCGCCCCCAACTACTGCTACCGCTGCGGCAACCTGGCCAGCGTGCTTGAGGTCAGCGATACCGGCGAGCGCTACTTCAACATCTTCGACGCCGCGCCCGAGAACGACATCCACCGCGGCGAGCAGCAGGCGCAGCAGAATAAGGACGGCCAGAGCCCCGTGATTGATTACTTTCTGTGATGATACCCCTCTTTGTTTTGTCGTGTGTTTTGTGGTGAGGTGTTGCTTGGTTTTGTCTAGTCTAAGAATATTTTGTTTCCTTTTTTTTTCTTACTTTCTTGTTCTAACATATATCTATTCTGGGTTGTCCCCCACTCCCTTATCTCCTTTCTGTGCATTTATGATTTCTCAGGGGTGGGAAGTTGGGTAAATTTTCAAGCATTTATAGACTGCTGTCAGGTGTTGTCATGTAAGAGGGAAATTTTTAAGAGATGTTAGATGAGTTGATACTGGAAAGAAGAGGGCTTCAGAGGTAATGGTTGCGAACAGTTATATCAACAGTTGGGAAGCCAGTCTTAAAATCGACAGATCCTGCTACATACTACAATCGACGTGGGTCATTATCAGCAACATCACACAACCTTTTACAAGTAGTTATATATATGGGCTAAAGATAGCTTATAGATCTGCATAAACCTCTTGGTGAGGTTACTGGTTCCAGTGCTAGTTACAAAAATTGTTAGATATTTTGAGAATAAGTTCTCAACTAGTTCAAATACCAATTGAAGATTACTCGCCAACTTCAACCTTCTTTCCAGTATGTTGATTTCCAAGTCAGGTGTGCGTGTGTCCAATAAAGCAAATGGAGCTAGACGGAGACCGGGGAGGGTATGTGGGCCACAGGATCTCCACACTATTACCAACAGAATGTTCGCATGCAACTCATATATGCAGATATATATATAGTTGTAGTATAGTGTAGTCCACTAAGTCCCAACCTCCCATCCAAAAAACAAGAGAGGTTCTAGAAGAAAAGTAGAATATATATATATGGAAAATCGGATAGATTTCACTCAAATGATGTGTGCGAACAAATGCGTCCCAACGCTTGTAAATACTGGCAAGAAATAGTTATGCTGGCCCCATGGGACAAAAAAAAAGATGGGGTGGATCTTTGATCGTGGTTCATAGGAAAAGAGAACACAGACAAGGGGGGGGGGGGGAAGAAAACAGGAACGAAAATGATCTACCAGTCCTTGGCGATGTCAAATGACCACTCGAACTGGAGGTGAGTGTGGTCGTCGTCGTCGATGAACTTGGAGATGGCGTTGTAGTGGCCACGGTACAGCATTCCCGAGGGGGCTTCTTCGGCGGCGACTGTTTCATGAAAAGGTTAGTTGGTTGTAGTAGTATGATGGGGAGGGGGTTTTAGCTGGCTCAACTTACACTTTTTCTCGTAGAACTGCTTGTCGGTGGTGTTGGGGGCGTAGCTTCCCTGTGACGAGTTATTAGGAAATTAGGGCGAGGAGGAGGAGGAGGAGGAGGAGGAGGGGGGAATCTTACCAGCATCTCCTCATCCTTGCTGACCCGGACACCCTTGCGCTTGACGACCTGCAGGTACTTGAGGCCGCTGAGCACCTCGTGGTGCACCTGGAAGACGACCTTGATGTGGAAGGTGGAGCCCTCCTTGATCTTGAACGGCTGGTCCTTGAGCCCCTCCAGCGCGCCGGGGGCGGACAAGTCGATCACCACGTCGGACCGGCCCTCGACCTCCAGGGCCAGGGACTTGATGATGCACTTGCGGGGGTCGCTGGGGTCGCCAATTGGGGTGCCGGAGTTGAGGCCGAGCGAGGCCTTCCACCGGTTCAAGGCCTCGTCATCCTTATCTATGGTAAAGGAGAGAGGGATGGTTAGTAGGGGATAGAGACCATTGATGGCTTTGATGTTGTGGAGAAGCCTATAGTAGTCGCGATGCGGCTAGATTTGTCTTTTGCATGGGGTAATTAAGCAAGGGGGAGGGGTAGCCGGCGTCAATGGCCACGAGGCAGAAGTAGAGGAAAGAAGAGGAGGGGGCGGAATGCTTGTGACAACAAAAGGGGGAGGAAGAGGGACACATCAAGAACAAATGATCACACATACCAAGCTCAGCATATTCGTTGATGGTCTTCTTCTCGCCGACCTTGAAGCCCTCGGTCTTGGTGGCAGTGAGATCGTCTTCGTGTTCAGGCATGGTGGTGGTGGTGATAGTGGTGGTGGTGGTGATGGTGTTGTTGATTTGGTTGTTTTGGTGGCTCTGGTGGGGTATTTGGATAGCGGATGGGAGAATGTGTCCAGAGGTAAATTGCTGGGGAAGATGCTCGCCTCACAGATGGCGGTTTTCTTGATTAGCCCAAGGACCAATTCAAGACCAAGAATCGAAGAGATTTCAAGTAGGGTCACTCACCGAGATTAAAATGAGGCCAGGAATTGCTGGAGGAGAGAATTGTTTTGGGATGTTTTGGAGTGGAAGGCCAATTGAACTACTAAAGGCCAAGTGGGGGGAAGGAAAAGGCGGTGGACAATCATGGCTATTAATGGATGGCCTTACAGGAGGGGGAGATTTAACTTATGTGTAGTTATCTCGGATGGGCCAGACTCATAGACTCATCACCATCACTAGCACTGGCACTGGCAGTGTGTACTGTACCTGATTGATCGATACCGAGTCATGAAATTGCTGGTCACGCAGTACTCGACCTCACACGAGAGAAGACGACTGCTTGACAAGGTGGCTGTTTACCAAATTGTACCTCGAAGGTGATCAGTCCTTTTTCTTGCCAGGCCATCAACATGAGGATTGCCCGGTCTTAGTCCAGGTTCCAGGAGTCCAGATGAGAAATTCCTAGCCAAACATTACTCGCACTATGAAAGCCCTGTCAAAATCAGCAACCAAGCTTGGGCAAGGGGCGCTGTTGGATCTTATCCGCTTCATGGTGGAAGCGCTTACTGTGTTTCTGCTCACTGTGTAGCTCTTCAGTGTGGGGTGAGTGTACAGTAACAGTGCCAGTACCTAGTACAGTACATGGCTCCTTTTCGAGTCGATCAACACTGGTGCTCCTTTAGTCTCAAACTAAATATACCCTTTGACTTCTCATAACATGTACCAGAAATCCTAGTACATATTTATAGAATGGTGTACTGTATATGTCATCTCTGGGTGTCGACTTCTCTACTTAATATCGTGAGTCCATGCCACTAAGGTCATCATCTTACGCCGCGCTAGGGGCCAGAAGGACCGTTCCAAGATCGTGATTGCCAGGTGCCAAGGTGCTCTTATCAAGAGCTACACACTGTGCAGACTATTTGAGGTATCTAATATCGAGGGAAAATATTCTCTGAGATCCTTGAAGCCTAGAGAACTTCATATACTCGCACTAATCGCTCTTCATACGGTCAGTCCAACATCCGAGGGTCATCAGTTGGTTCAGAGACAATCGAGCTTTTCTACCCTGAGGATATACCAATCCAAGATTCAGTGTTTTGACAGTCCCCGTTGCCGAGGTTCCATATTTCCCGAGAGGTCTGCGAGTTCCATGTCCAAATGCGGCATTGTTCTGGAAGAGCGGACCAAGGTCTGTATCGAGGATGAAGCGGTGAGCATTGCAAATGTAAGAAAGATATTGCCTGCTGCTAAAAGAGTCCTAAGTTCCCGAAGGGAAGCAAGTAGATCAGCCATTCGAAGCCGTTACAAGAGTCTTCTACAGTGCTATTATTCATGGTGCGCATGGCTCGTGGACTGTCCTAAATCTGGTCTGCTTGACTGATAAGAACGAATCTCGCCCAAGCCAGTACTAGAGCGAACATCTGGAGTAACTACTTGTCAGTTCCCCCAGACGGTAGTTAGTTAGGGAAGTTAGCGAAGTGTCAGCCCTGGCTCGGTGCATGTCTTTATGCATACCCCCATGTCCGGACTTCTGGCAAGGGATTTTGCTATCTAAAGTTTTTCTTTGCTTCTTATCCCCTTCTTCTTTTTCAATGTGAGAACTGGGTAAATTCGAATGTGTTATAATCATGTATCCCGTAGCTCGATGACGAGTCGAAAACCCCCGCGACAAACTAAGGTGAGGGCCAACAAACCAAAACAAGAGAAGCGCGTCACGGGGACAACCGCGCTAGCTCAGGCGCCAAGGCATCGATACGTAGTGGGCGTTTCTCTGTAATCATTGATACCGGGGGATGAGCCGGCGGCGCTGGTACTTACTTTTCGGGTTAGAGGATGGGCCAATTGGTACGGATGACTGGTTGATTCAACGGTGATGCTGCAGTAGCGCCGTAACATTAGCCGGGCGGAACCGTCACGTAACCAGCGGAACATGCAATGATGGGAAGCGATTCGCCCGTCCTGTTTCGCTCAACTTTCATTCTTTGATTATTTTCCCTCCCCTACTCCCGAGTCTAGAGAAACCTAACCTTTTAGCGACTGCTGCTGCTGCTACTGCTTATCGACCGAGCGCCGCCTGGACTCCTCCCACACCCCCATTCCTGCCTTTATCATCTGGCTGGTTGTCGCGTATTTCCTTTCCAGCTTCACACCCCATCTACTGTCCGCCCGGTTTCCAAACCGTCGTGTTTGTCACCTGTGCGCTTTCGTCTTGGTGACGTCTTCTCTTCTCGCGATTTGTAGACAAGAGAGCGGCGACAAACGCGCCTGCAACGTGGCCGCCGCTTTGGTGTCGCATCCCCCCATCCATCATCCCACTCACCACCGTCCATCGCCCGAGTCTTTTCGAGTCTCTGAATTGATACCTCCCGCCCAATCCAATTCGTTCATCATGGTGCGCACCTTGCCGAGAAAGAACAATCCGCTCATCCTTAGCGATGAAGCGCCTGCTTGTAAGTTGTGCCTCTGCATCGGCAGCGTCGATTCCGATCTCGACCATTGCTATATCCACTCCACTCCGATCTGAGGTCGCGCCAGACTAACACGCACCTTGCTTCGTGCTTCTGCGATGACAGACGAAGAACTTCTTGCGCGCCGTCGCTTGGGAAAGACAAATCTTGCCGTGAAGCCCACCCAGATCGGCACCTCCAATGCGACCAAACCAGAGAACCTCGGCCCTTTTGAATATGCTCACTTGCGCGCTCCCTTGCCCAGTGATCTCAAAGGATCTGAAATCTTCCCTTCACATGCTCCTCAACAACACCCGGAGACGTACTTCTTGATGGTAAGTCGCGTCCTTCCAGGCCCTTAGCCTTTCGGAATCGGAACGTCACGGAACCATGGTTAACGGGGTGGGTTCCTTTGTCTCTTCCAGCGTCGTAGCAGAGACGGATACGTTAGCGCCACGGGCATGTTCAAGATCGCTTTCCCTTGGGCTAAGCTTGACGAAGAACGATCTGAGCGGGAGTACTTGAAAGCACGGTCTGAAACGAGCGAAGACGAGATTGCCGGCAACGTCTGGATCTCTCCTGTACTTGGTAAGTTCTTCGAACCACCTTACCTTCCCTGGCCTACCGCTCTGATACCGTTCCTCAGCTCTTGAGCTCGCCAAGGAGTATCAGATGTACGACTGGGTCCGAGCCTTGCTTGACCCCACCGATATTATCCAGAGCCCTTCCTCTGCAAAGAAGCAAATCACGCCTCCCCCCAGGTTCGATCTGCCTCCTATCGAGGCCCCGACCCTCCTCACTTCTACGACCCGTCTCAGACGAGGACGCTCGGCCTCCCCTAGCAAGAGACCTAGTTCGCCCCGGAAGCCTAGACAAACTCGAGCCATGAAGGAAGCGAACGCTGCCGCCACCAGCGCTGCAAATGCTACCCTACAGTCTTCTCTCGACTTGACCGCTTCGACCGTGGAAAGCGAGTCGGTGATCAGAGCCATCCAGCCCAGCGTGGAAGTTGATAGCGACCAGAAGCCGGCCCCCACTCCTAGAAAGTTGAAGACGCCCAGACCCTCCAAGATTGCGCGTCGGGTCATTCCTGAGGACAATGTCGAAGAAGAGCAAAAGGAGGAGCAAAAGGAGGAGCAAAAAGAGGAGGAAAAGGAACAGAAGGTGAAGGTCGACGTCGAGACCACCGCCAACACCTTCGACGATGTCAAGACCACCCAGACCACCGTCTCCGTGGAGTTGCCGGTTACTCTTCCCGAAGCACCCTCTGCAGCTGATACCGAGCAGATGATCGCCAAGGCCAAGGAAATGGTGGAAGAAGCTGTCAAGCTCCAGGCAGAGACCGCCGAGCCATCGTCAGCCAAGGCGGCCGTGAAACGCAAGACTGACGCTCTCAGTGACGATGAGGATGAGGAAGATGAGGAAGCCCGCACTCTCCGGACGAAGCGCGCCAAGGTCCTGGAAGAGAAGCTCAAGCAGGAGCGCGTCCGGAATCGTGCTCTTGTTGGTGTTACAGCTGCCTTTGCTCTTGCGTTAGTACCCCTCTACAATACCCGGTCTTTCATCGCACATTACTAACTGGACTATGCAGCGCCTCGATTCCTTACTTCTTCATCTAAAGAATTTAATACATTTCTCAATCACGAGTGGAGCCAAAGACGCACGAGGTCCTTCGTGATCTCAACCTACGCCCGCATCTGTAGTAACCGACACCTGTCTCCGCCATGATCATAGGTTCCACAGCCTCCTTGACCGTATGTTCACAACTGCCATGGTCCCTGACGACTTTTGCCATGCAATGCCCGCGAGAAGCCTCTTTCCGTGCACTTTTGCTACCCTCGCTCAAATCCGAGTTCGGGCTTTGGTCGATTATCCCCTTGCCAATCACGATTCTTCCCCCAATCATGGTCATCTTGATGTTTACCGTATCTGAACCAGTTTATTTCCTTAGCAATGCTGTGCCTTTTGGTTGCGAGTGATGTGCGTCGAGGCGGGGGAGATTGGCCTGCACAGGTCCTGGAGATCAGAAAGAAAGCCTTGGGTTCGTTTCGTTCTTTACCTGCACCTTTTCATTATCCCCCTTCTTCCTGGATACCTGATATATGCCCCTATAATGTGGTTTTTCTTTTTCGTTTCTACACCAATTGCGCCGGGAAAGACCCCTGGTGTCGTGATGCAATCGGATGGCTTTGACTGGACTGTACTCGGGCGTTGTGCTATTGTTAGGGTAGATTCGGCAGACGACGCTACATGCAAGAATTTGAATGTTGATAAGTAGCGATGTTTATCTCCAGATTGTAGATTGGCGGTTCGGCCTTGTTTTTTGTGGGCATAGTGGGGTAATACCAAGTGAAATTGGCTTGAGCTGGACTCCGCTGCAAACCAGCAAAACATCGTTATCGGCGGGTGGTTCTCTCCGCCTGACGTCTCCGAAGGTTACTTTCTTTCTTCCATTCTTTGTTCTTCCTTTCAGACTTCTTTCTTACTGTGGTGCAAATAAAATCTACGAATCTTCCATACCCATCCCTACGCTCATTGATCTCCTCAGCACCGTAATGCCATGTCTCTTCCGGGATTAGACCTTACACAGCCCTCCGGGGAGAAGGAGTTTGTCCCCGCACCGCCGACGCAAATTACTGTCGGCAAAGGTTCAGAATGGCGGTTTGAGGTCGCGTTCGGCACCGTCGTGCGCGTCAAGGTGAGCACAGCCTTCTCAAGAGGTTCTACAGCTCTCATGCTCGATGGATTTCTGTTTGATCCTCAATTGACCCCTCAGCAACTAACTGACTGATCCCGAGAACTAGCTCCTGACCGGCACCGCCGAACTCTTCGGTACGGAACTCGCCCCCTCCCAGACGTACACCTTCACCGGCACGAAAGCCGCGATCTACACATGGCACGGATGCATGCTCGAGGTCAGCGCCGGCGAGTCCTACGCGACACCGGACAGCCTTGCGCCTGGCGGCAACAACAGCAGCAGCAACAGCAACAGCAACAGTAACGAACCACCCACGACGGGTGGCGGCGGCGGCGGCGGTCGCGGCCTGGGCGCCGGAGGCTGCCAGAGCGAGTACACGGCGGAGGAGACGCCGATGGTGGAATACGCGAACGTGCACTTTGCGCTGGAGACGATGCGGCGGCAGGCCAAGGCGCAGGGCAGGGACGGGCCGCGGGTGCTGATCCTGGGCTCGGAGGACGCGGGCAAGACGAGTCTGGCCAAGATTCTGACGGCGTACGCCACCAAGGTCGGGCGGCAGCCGGTGGTCGTTAACCTCGACCCCACGGAGGGGATGCTGAGCGTACCCGGGACGCTGACGGCCACCGCGTTCCGCACGATGATCGACGTCGAGGAAGGCTGGGGGTCCAGCCCCATGTCCGGCCCCAGTGCGGTGCCCGTCAAGGTGCCCCTGGTCTACTTCTACCCGATGGCCAACCCGCTCGAGGCCGAGGGGTCCGTGTACAAGGCGATCGTGTCGCGGCTGGCCGTCTCGGTCATGGGCCGCATGGCCGAGGATGAGGATGTCCGGGAGACGGGGATCATTGTCGACACGCCGGGGATTCTCAGTCAGAGTAAGGCGGGGAATGTGGACTTGATCAAGCATATTGTGACGGAGTTTGCCAGTGAGTTTTGATTGATTTGTTGTCACGAGGTTTTAGGGACATTTACTGACGTGATTTGGGGGTGATGCAGTTACGACGATTTTGGTGATCGGCTCCGAACGACTCTACAGTTCGATGATGAAGGAGTTTGATAACAAACCTACGGCCAGTGCGTCTGCCGTGGCGTCGGATGAGCGCATCTCCGTGATCAAGCTGTCCAAGTCCGGGGGATGTGTGGATCGGGACGCAGCGTTCATGAAGGCCGTCCGCGAGTCGCAGATCCGCACCTACTTCTTCGGTGACCAGATCCCTTCCGCCGCGTCAGGGGCGCTGCCGCTGTTGGCCGCCTCTTCCAAGAATGTGACGCTGTCGCCGCACGCGCAGCAGCTGGATCTCAGCACGCTGTCGATATACAATTACACCATCGCTACCCCGGAGGAGGACGAGGATGAATATGACCCGGCGTCATTTGGCACCGATTCGTTCCTCCCTGGCGGAGGCAACGAGGCGGGCTCGAACCACAATCAGCAGCAGCAGGAGGACAGTAGTGCAACGTCTGTTCTGCCCGGGTTCGGGAGTGCGCCGTCGAGTGCCACGGCGGAGACGGGCGGCGGCGCAAATGTGCCGTTGAAGAAGCTGCTCCCGCCGGCGCCCACGGGGCTGGCAAATTCGCTGCTGGCGATCACGCATGCGCCGACGACGGCCAGTGCGGCGGACGTGCGGGATGCGAGTATCATGGGGTTCTTGTATGTGGCGGATGTGAACAACGAGAGGGGAAAGATCCAGGTGTTGGCGCCGGTGGGGGGGCGAGTGCCTCCGCGGGCGTTGGTGTGGGGGAAGAAATGGCCGGGCGAGGTGGTCGGATTGGTGGGTTAGCACGGAGTAGTACTGAGTACATTAAAAGCGGTTAGTGTTGATTGATATGATATGCCACTGGGCACCTACGGATACTCCGTACCTTCATCTCCTCCTCTCCATCAACAACCAACAACCATCCCAACCCAACCCAAACACTCTTTACTTTCTACTTGCTAGATCCATCCAACCGCAAAGACAATGGCCTAGATTCTCTCTTGAAAGCTGCACCAGCCAGACGTCTCTCATTTCGATAACAACCACAACCACAACCACAACCACCATCACCACCAGGCCCAACCAACAACCGAACAACCACCACTCCTTACCCCCCAACCAACCACCACCACCACCACCACCAAAACAAAGAAATGCCCCGCCTCCACCTAACAAACCATCTAAACCGCCTCCTCACCCGCCTCCTAACCACCCTACCGCGGCCCCTCCAGTCCCTCCTCCCACTGCACCTGCGCACGCGCACGCGCGCCCGCGCCCGCTCGCGCGCCCTCTCCCGGCCCCCAATCTACCCCTACCCCTACCCCGACGCCGCAACCAACTACAAAGACAAACCCACCCCCTCGACAGACTTCCACGCCTCGACGCCGCACAAAACCCACCTCCTGACGCGCCGCAACCTGAAGATGGCCCTCCTGACCCTCTGCCTTCTCCTCACCCTCCTCATCCTCCTCCCGGCATACACAATCTACCGGCCCCCCAACCTCCTGATCCGGTACTTCCAGCACCGCTGGCCCGACGCCCTCTTCCACGTGCCGCTCCCGGCCTCCGCCCCGCCGACGATCGCGCTGACCATCGACGATTCTCCGTCCACGTTCACCGCGCAGATCCTCGAGATTTTGCGGGAGAACGACGCCCGCGCGACGTTCTTCGTCATCGGGGCGCAGATACCCGCTCCCGGGGTGGGGCCGCGCGGAGGGAATGGGGAAGCGATGTTGCGCGAGCTGGTGAGGGAGGGCATGGAGCTGGGGAATCATGCGATGTCGGATCGGCCTTCGCGGGACCTGAGCGATGCGGTGCTCGAGGCGGAGGTGAGGGGCGTGCAGGGGTGGTTGGAGCGGGTGGAGGATTTGGTCTTTCCGGTAGGGGAGGGGGAGGGACGGGGAGAGGGAGGGGGAGCCGATGGGGTGCAGGCGAAGGCCAAGTATAAATGGTTTAGGCCGGGGTCTGGGTTCTTCTCGGATCGGATGCGCGTGCTCATCCGGAAGCTGGGGCTGCGGATTGCCCTGGGTAGTGTGTATCCGCACGATGCGCAGATCAATTGGCCGCGGGTCAATGCGTGGCATATTCTCAGTATGGTGCGGTCGGGCAGTGTGATTGTCTGTCATGATCGGAGGGGGTGGACGGTGCCGATGCTGAAGCTGGTGGTGCCGGAGTTGAAGAGGAGGGGGTTTCGCGTGGTCACGCTGAGTGAGTTGGTGGAGTTGGGCGAGCAGAGTCAACTGCCGAAGCAGATTAGTGCCTAGTACCTAGGAGGGTGGCACACTACGAGGCTGCTTTTTGTTGCTGTTGCACAGAGGTGATACATGTATATAGTCTAAATCTACCGTACAGGCTGGTCCTGAAGCACAAACAATCAAACAGTAAAGATACACACACACACACCCGTCATCCGGCTACTCCCATCGCTTCCACTCCTCCACGTTCTTCCGCATCTCACTCTCAACTTCATACCCCCGACTGGCATCCTCCAGCAGCTCGGCTTGGCGGTCTCGGTACCGCTGCTCGGCCTCCCGACGTCGCAGCGCCACCAGCTTCAGATACGTCAGGTCGTCCAGCTGCACCGCCTCCTGGAACTTCATGCGCATCCGCGGCGAGTACAGCTGGCAGCTCGCCTCGCGACAGCGCGACGGGCCTTCCCCAGGAAGAAGCCGCATCGTGGTCGAGAACTTGCGCGCAATCGGGAGCTTGGCCTTGACCAGCGGCCACACCACATCGTCGTAGCAGTCCTCACACACCGTGAGCTCAGGCAGCTGCGGCATGTAGTGCCAGGTGCTGAGTACCTGCCGGTCCCGCCGGCAATCTCGAAGCACTACCTTGCGCCGCGCATAGGACAGGAACTCGCGGATGTCCGGCCGCACCGCATGCTCCAGCTCTGCTCGGTTGGCGGCCATATCCAGGCAGTCGATATAGCGGACGAACCGAGCACTGTCAGTCACAAAGTCACACGCCCTCTCCTGCTTGGTGGCACTGCGTTTGAATGTCTCCCGGTGCCGCGGCATCAAAGTCCTCAGGTTGCGAACGCAGGAGTGGCATACGTTGAACTGCGGGAGATACATGTCGGTGTCCGGGTCCACCACACGGTACCAGTACTGATCACTGATAGTGCGTCCCGGGCAAGGCTTGCTGCCTGACGGTGGCCGCGTGATCTGCAGGAGCAGATCCAGGTGGTCCAAGTGCTTCTTGAGTGTCTGCATCCATGCCAAGCGCGTCCATGGCTCATTCATGGAACAGCGAACCTTCTCTTCGCGGGGTCGGGGGCTCGCTAGGACAAAGAGATCTCGGAACCGGGACTTGCGCATCTGTTTCATGCAGGATGGACAGATATTCAAGTGAGGGATTCCCTTCACGGTGTGCCAGTCCTGGTATCCTGCCACAGGAACTGACCGAGGGCAAGGCGACAGAAAGTACTGGGGCTTAGGAGAACTTCTGCGCACGGCACCCTGCGAAGAGCTTCGCCGACCAACTTGTTTTCCAGTCTGGTAAGCATCTTCGGGGTCTTCATCGGGTGACACAGGCCGCTGCAACGTGTCATCCAGGAAAGACACAGCACGTCTACTGGGGGTGTGCGAGGACACCGACTGTGCCCTGTCTGAAGACTGGGATCGTCCATCCGGCCTGTTGCCAATCGAGGGTCGCGCTGGGGCCTCGGAGGCCAGCGCTGCAGTGAATGAGGCCGAGAAAGGATCCTCTTCACTCTTCTCGTGTTCAGTAGACTCCTTGGCCGTCGATGTAGACTTAGAAGGGATCGGCTGGTTAGCCTGTGGCGCGCCGCACCCATTAGGGCACGTAATGGATGGCTTGAGGCCTGCTTGCTCAACGGTGGCGATCGGTTGGGCAGCTGCAGCTGCAGGTGGCGGACTGTTCTGATCGTGGTTCTGTGAAGCCTCTTGCGATGCGCGAAGTTCTTGCCTCTGGCGCAACTTCTCCTCTATCCTCTCAGCCAAAGTAGGCCCAGTGGAAGACTTTTCTGTGGGTGAGGCCGGAGGCTTGAGCGAGGAACCCTTCACTCCAATGGCAGCCGAATCAGATTGATGGCCTAGCTTCGGCATGGGAGGCCTGGTCACCTGCTTGGCAGATGAACTGGGCTTCGCACTGCCCGCTCGCTTCAAACTAGGCGGGGATGCCGTGGTTGTGGTTTCGATCGCTTTGGCGGGCGTGTTGGATGTCACAGGGCCAGTCCGGGATCCCTGGGCCAAATCTCTGTTGGGAATACTATCCCTCTGGATACTGAATTTTGCTCCGCTAGGCCGGCCATCGACGGTCTTGCTCGGGGTTCGGGCTTGCTGCGGGCGTGCTAGCGAATTTGGAGCGCAAATCTTATCTGAAGAAGCCCATGAGGTCGACAGAGGCACGGCCTGATCATCCTCGACAATGTAGAGCATTGGGTCATGTTCAATTTCCGCTGACGGCGTTGGCGGCCCTGCGTTGTCATCAGAGCCGCTCTCGCGGACTGAGTCGTCATAGATCGTCGTGTGAACAACTGAGGAGAAGGATAGCACATCCACGATCACTGGATGCTGGTCAATAGTTCCCCGAGAGCAGACACCCTCCACTCCGGGCTTTTCTCCTAGCTTGGTCATCCCGTGTAGTTCGCGAGAAAGGGATACCGTCTCGTCTTCCACGGAAGGCGCAGGTGGCCATTGGGTCTGCTTGCGCCAGCGCAAGTGCACCTTGGTCCTGAGATACATGGCGACGAGGGGTAAAGCAAAAATCAGAACAGAAGAAAACTTTGATCCAGTCGAATACAAGGCTCCAATCGGTGTGAGGGCGGCACTCCTGGGGATTTATCCTGCGGTGGCACGTCGGATCAGAATCACGTTCCTGGCTGTTGGCATTATAAATCCGTCGAACGTCGGACTCACGAGAGAAACGTTCTCGAGGAAAGAGCAAAGGATCCAGCGGACGCAAACAATCAAAAGTAAACAGAAAACACACAAGCCCCGGGCGGAGTCAGGGAATCAGCAATTGAGTTGGAATGGGGCCGAACGGCGCAGGAAAAATTGGAGCAACTAGTGAGCAGAAGACTGGGGCAGTCTCTGAAAACCTTCCAGGGGCGATTGGAATTAAGTATTAGGCGAAAGTATGGTTAGTAGTCCTGATGTACAGTTCCAGGGACAAGAAAAACAAGCACAGAGAATACGGAGAGACTATATAAAGTAAATCGACCCCAATGGGAACCCGGTTGGGCAGCGCCTCTGGCCGGGGTACTGGCCCTATCAGAATCCAGCCCCAGAGATTGGGCGTTAACAGCGAGCGAATCAATCACCCCCGACGCTGAAACACGACGATCGTGGCCATATGTCAAGCGTTGGGAATGAATGGTCCTGCCTGAGCCATGTCAACAGGAGTCGTTGAAGATGAAACCATTCTGATCCCCGGACAGGAGAATGGCTTGATCGTGCATGCGTAGAGGCGAAGCTGGCCGTTGATTTGTCCCACCCCTCCTTTGTCGTCGGTTTAGGTGCCAATTGTTCGACCAGGGGCAGGTAAGCAGGCGAAGTTTTAACCTGCGGGAAAGGCGTCATCCCCAAGGCACAGGCGGCGAACTAGAGGGATGGTTATTGGCCTGACAGACATGACAGGCAACTAGAAGAGCAGGGCTTAAGCAAAGCCACACACGATCACGGTCTGTATTGGGCGCCTCTGGCTACATATGCCACCATTGGGATGAGCTGCAGCATTCTTGGCCTGTAGATGCTGGTCGTATGGTGCGCATCGACCAATGGGCATCTCATCTGCGGCAAGCGATGCGATGATATCAGCTGGAAAGACGGTGAGAAGAGGTAATGGGTGGCAAGCTGCATTGAAAAGAA